TAGGTGCATGTATTGTAGTAGTAGGCACATGTATTGTAGTAGTAGGTGCATGTAGTAGTAGGTGCATGTATTGTAGTAGTAGGTGCATGTAGTAGTAGGTGCATGTAGTAGTAGGTGCATGTATTGTAGTAGTAGGTGCATGTATTGTAGTAGTAGGTGCATGTATTGTAGTAGTAGGTGCATGTATTGTTGTATTAGGTGCATGTATTGTAGTAGTAGGTGCATGTATTGTAGTAGTAGGTGCATGTATTGTAGTAGTTGGTGCATGTATTGTAGTAGTAGGTGCATGTATTGTAGTAGTAGGTGTATTGTAGTAGTAGGTGAGGTGTTGGTTGTTAGAAGTGGGTCACCCGGAGATGGGGAGCACTAGTCCATGTTACTGGACATAAAATGGTTCCAGTAGTATCCATTCTTCGTCTGCGGGGAGGTCGCTTAAGATTTTGGGTCGAGGGAAGTTCTCCTTGTGGATAAAGCGTTGAACTCTTTGTTGGAGGGTCATTCTTTGGGATCTGTGGGGAGGGGTGGTGATGGTACAGTCGGTTGTGTTCACTGGTTGGGGGGGATTCTCTCTGTCAGGCACGTAGAGTTCCTGCATGTCATATAGTTGTCTCTTAGTAAGTTTGTCTAATCGGACATTGATTGCAGGGATTCTCTGTTGTATGTGTAGGTCCTCTAATCTGATTCTGTCTCCGAGTCTGGTGTTCGTGATGAAGCGGAGGGCTTTGTTTTGGACTCTTTGGAGTTTTAGCATGTTGGTTTTGGTTGTGAGCGACATGGGTACACAGGGGTATTCCAGCAGAGGTCTGATCATCATCTTGTACAGGTGTAGTTTGATGTGGGGAGGAGCTGCTTTGAATCGATAAAGTTGGCCAAGGCGGGCTTTCGCTAGGTTTACTTTTTTGGTTATGTGGGTTGTAGAGTTGAGTAATCTGCCGATCTCGTATCCTAGGATCTTGTTTGGATTCCTTATAGCAATACGGGTACCTCTGATGGAAATGCCCCCTTTTTCTTCTATGGTTGATGGTAAGCACCCGATAGTGCTGATGAGGACTTTGTCAGGGTTGGTTGTGATTCTCCATTTCTTCTCCCACCTGGCAGTTCTGTTTAGTTCTTCATTCATTTTCTCGATTGCTCTCCTATGCTTGTTTGCACCAGCTGTAGGGGTGGAGGAGACAACATGGATGACATACACCCGACGAAGGCTGGCGCACTCACTCACCCATTTGACCATAAACAGAAATATTAACCTCAATCTTAAAATAATGAATCCTATGATACTCCAATACTGAAACTATGTACTGTGCCAAAACAAAAGCATTCACATTGCTAAACTCACAAACTAGTATTTAGTCACTTAGCCATAATACCAACTTACCTCATAATTTGTAATATTTTACAATTAAGAATAAAACTAAGTCTGCCCGAAATGCCTAGCCATGCTAGGTGTTCTAGTGGTACACTCTGTAATGCCTAGCCATGCTAGGTGTTCTAGTGGTACACTGTAATGCCTAGCCATGCTAGGTGTTCTAGTGGTACACTCTGTAATGCCTAGCCATGCTAGGTGTTCTAGTGGTACACTGTAATGCCTAGCCATGCTAGGTGTTCTAGTGGTACACTCTGTAATGCCTAGCCATGCTAGGTGTTCTAGTGGTACACTGTAATGCCTAGCCATGCTAGGTGTTCTAGTGGTACACTCCCCTCAAGGAAGGTTCCTTGATGTTGGTGAGGGGCTCTTGATTTAGGGAATTGGATCTGTGCTCCAGTTCCCCGAATTAAGCCTGAATGCCTTCCACATCCCCCCCCAGGCGCTGTATAATCCTCCGGGTTTAGCACTTCCCCCTTGATTATAATAATAATAATAGTGGTACACTCTGTAATCATTATTTTACTACATGTAAACCACACAATAACCAAATTTCTGTAAACTCAGCATTGTAATCCTTATAGAGAATAAACTTTGAATTAAGTCCCTTAAATAGTACGAGACACACAAGAGTGTTGACAGCGTCTTGTTGTTGTTGGGTTGTAGGGCCGCTTACAGCTTACACCGTATTGAACCCTGCCTCCCGGGTTAAATTAAGAGAACATTTCGTTATCCTAGTTTAACCACCCAGGATAATTCAAGAATGTCAGTGCGTCATCAAGGACTGTCTGTCTTATTTCCATTGAGGATCTCAAATCTTGTCACCCCAGGATGCGACCCACACTAGTCCACTAACACCCAGGTACCCATTTTAAACTGATGGGTGAACAGGGACAGGGACAGCAGGTGTCTTATGGAAACACGTCCCTAATTTGACCGATATGCTCAGCATAACAAGCGGCTTTCTATATAGTAGTATGTCATTGGTGTCAACTAGGCCTGTATGCTATGTACATGTACTTGTAGTAAATAAAGATGTTATTATTATAATGTTTTCCGTTCGTACCGGAGGAGATTCGAACTCCGGACCTCAGACTGTGAGCTGAGTGCGCTAACGATCCAGCTACGGGACATTGGGGCGTTATTTTACACCGGTTGTATATGTTCACCCATCAGTAAAATAGGTACCTGGGTATTAGTGGACTGGTGTGGGTCACATCCTGGGACAAAACTGACCTAATTTGCGGGAAATGCTCTGTATAACAAGCGGCCTTTTTATATAGTAATATGTCATTGATGTCAGCTAGGGTCTGTATACCTTGTCAGGGAAGTTATTTTGGCGAATTAGTTCGCCTAGCTTAACTGGACATTAGTAGTCAGTTTTTATAGTGGATTCTTGGTTATCTCACTAAGAAAATCTCTGCTGCATTGTTTCAGGATTACAAAAGTTAAATTGGCACTAAGCAAGTTGATATATCAAATCCTACGGATGGGGTTTGAACCCATGGCAAATGAGTCCTAAAACTTACAGGTCAGTGATTCTAGGATTCACTTGCCACGGGTTCAAACCCCCACCAGTTCTACGATTTAACTAAACTTCTATTTCAGGCCTGGTAATGTGCGGTGGTCTTGTTCTCCTGAGCACCAGTGACATATTGTCCCCGCATTACCTTTGTAACTTGTCATGATTGTGACCAGCTGCACTTAGTGCTCATTACCTTTGTGACTTAGTCATGATTGTGACCAGATCTAGTTCATTACCTTTGTAACTTGTTCATCTATCAAAACTTTGGAGTCCAGTTCCTGGACCCATTATGTACCTCTGTAATCTTTTGACTACCACCCACATGATGGGTATGTGGTGCATAATAAAGATCTTAAACTAACTAGAACCTCACTGGGACACCTGTCCTCATCTTATTTTGCCCACTGGGTACTGCAAAGTAGGGGCACCATTTTCCTGTTGTGCAGATATTGACTGGTGTAGAAGTCCCGCTCTGCTGAGACTGAGACAAGGGATCCATCTGACCTAGTTCAGAACTTTTTTGTTCCAGTTTATATTTGCAAATATATTTCTCCCTATACATCAGGAAGTTTGGCTGGATACAGCTTAAGCTTGCCCGAAATGCTCTACATAACCATGGGCTTTAAACATGTACCCAAGTGTCACCCAGTGTCATTCACTTATTTACCCCTATCTCACCTATGGAATTTGTGCATGGGGCTCAACAACAATTAACCATCTCAGACCACTAATTACCCAACAAAAGGCTGCAGTCAGAATGATAACAAATTCCCACTACAGGCAGCACACTCCACTAATATTCAAAACACTAAACCTACACACCATACAAAACATCCATACTTATTACTGCACCTATTACATACATAGAACACTTAACTCTGACATAAACCCTCCCCTCAAACATCTCCTTGCCAACCTCAACAGAACACATGACCATAACACAAGGCACAGATCACTCTTTGATGTTCCTCGTGTCCATCTCACACTATGCAAAAACTCAATGCACATAAAAGGCCCTAAAATCTGGAATTCATTACCTGTAAATATAAAAGAAACACTACCTGTTTATAAATTCAAGTCTCTTCTCAAAGATCACTTACTCACCCAAAACCAAATAAATACTGAATAACTGAACCTTATAAATTGTATATCTTAAATGTTTCTCACAATTATATCACATAAATGTTAAACCTAAGACCCAATCTAACTTTGTTATCTTTTAAATACACTACCTAACAGAATACTCCATTCTACTGAATGTACAGCAATGCATGCAACCATATGACCTGTCTTTGTAATACACATTTGTGCTTTATTGTTATCTGTTTACAATAATGTTTTATCACTGATTACATCATTGCTTAGTTAATTTTAAGCCAGCCCGTAATGCTATGCATACAAGTGGCTTTGGCATGCTGCTATTACCTGTATTTTTTTTGTACCTCTGTATGTATGTTCAAATAAATAAATAAATAAATAAATATTGTGTCCCGTAGCTCTGTTGTTAGCACACTCAGCTCACACGTAGTTCGATCCTCAGTAAGGGTGGAAATATTAGGACGTGTTTCCGTAAGACACCTGCTGTCCATGTTCATTTATGAGTAAAATAGGTACCTGGGTATTAGTTGACTGGTGTGGGTCGAATCCTGGAGACAAAACTGACCTAATTTCCGGGAAATGCTATGCACAACAAGCGGCTTTCTATATCGTAGTATGTCATTGTTGTCAGCTAGGACTGTATACCATGTGGAAATTTATTCGGTCCCTAAAGTTCCACAGGACAGATACGGCGTACAAAGATCCCAGCATGGCCGTGTAAGGAACGGCTGGATAGGGTGGCCCTTACACCCAACCAAAAAAAACACACACACACACACACTCACCCGGGTTGGTGAAGGTGGTTGGAATACGGCTTATGTTGTCAGTGGTCCTGATAAACCCAACAAAGAAGAAGGTGGTCGGAAGGTACTTCTTAATTGATAGATTTACCCTTCAGGGAAGAAGTAGGTAGTTTATACTGTTAATACACTAATATTAGGATTATTGAGGCAACTGTAGATAATAATAATGTAGACCTAAGACCTTAACGTAGGTAGTAGTAGGCCGATAATGTAGGCAAACACTAGGTTATGTTAACCAGGGAGAACTGGCAGACCAAGTTTGAATACTGGGGTACGCGGGTCTGAGACCACAGTGCCCTTTCTTCTAAGACCAGGCACCGTCTGAGCAGCAAGTGCCGTGACCAGCAGGCGGCGCCCCCACGTGTCTTCACATACTAGACCTGGGGTAATCTGGTGGAGACACCTCGACGTACCGTAGATGTCCTCCTCCGTCTGGCACATACAGTAAGACAAAACCTCCACTTTTTCTTAGGATCCTGGCCAGTGTCTGGGGAAAATTGTGGGTGAGTCGTGGTGTGAGCTTTGTGTCAGCCGGCAGTTCATGACCAGTACGTACCAGTGTCTCTTGTCAGCCTAGAAGCTAGTGTCACTTTCTGCATAGTAGTCTAGGGGATTCACCCCCTTGGAAATAGGAATTTCTGAGGTGCAGGCAGGTCACTAATATTGACTGAATATTGCAGGAATTAAGGCTCCTGGTTGCACGTGGTTCTGAGGGGAAGTCCAGAGGGGCTAAAGCTTAGGGAGGTTGAAGACCAGAATAGATTCTCCAACACCAAGTAAGTTAGTCCTTCATACGTGCGTGCAGGCAAGATTTCTTGCAACATCAGTCATTTATGAAAATCTGTCCTTTAAGCCACTTGTGAGGCTGAGGTACCGACCTCAGGGCTCGGTGTCAACAGAGTTTGCCAGGGTAGGCGACTCACATGGAGGCAGTCCAGACAAATTTTCACATACCTTGTACATGTACTTTTAGAAATAAAAGATATTATATTAATGTTATTATTGTAAGCTATCATCAGTTCAGTGGCTCTTAACATGCCAACAAGAAGAAGAAAACAGTGTTAGTATACACATACTTACTCGAGCAGTAAGACACCTGCCTCTTCCCGTATTTAGTTCTGGGCTCCACTGAATTGACTTGGGAATTTAATATTCCTGTCTTTCTTTCCTGAGGAAATTTTGTTGCCTCTCTCATTCCCACTCATATTTGTGCCATCTCTTGTGCTCTGACTCCCAGATGTTGGGCTCAGTAAAGTGTCAACTGTGGTGGCTCTGAATAACCTCTTCAACAACCACAAGGTATTTTTGTCTTTATCCAGGCCTCATACATAACTAAAATATTATTGTCTTTATTCAGGCCTCATACATAACTAAAATATTGAGACCTCGTGTATAGCTTAAAAACTTTACAATGGTTTTATATAGTAAATTATTTAGAAATGAACCCAGGAAAATAAAAAGTGTGACTTATTTTCGTTGAGGACTCAAAAATGTAGCCATCAAGAGAAGAAACTTGACGAAATTGTATATATGGGGAAGAAGCATATTTTAATTACTATTATTTAAGTGCTTTTATAATCCTCCCCCTCCCCCCCTCAAGAGAGGTTCCTTGATGCTTGTGAGGGGCTCTTGATCTAGGGAATTGGATCTGTGCTCCAGTTCCCTGAATTGAACCTGAATACCTTCCATCCCCCCCACATGCACTGTATAACCCTACGGGTTTAGTGCTTCCCTGTGATTATAATAATAATATAATTCTCCCCCCCCCCCCCCAGCCCCATTTTGGGACAGCTGTCCTTTGTAAAATCTCAGCTGTATTTTAAGGAGGTACTTCAAGGATTGGAGCTGTTCTCTTTTTTCTTGGATCAAACCAAATTCCCTCCCATTGCCAAGGTACTGTATGACCCCTATGAGTTTAGCATTTCCCATGAATATAATAATTATGTACCTACAGAAAGGAAATTCTATACTTACCATATAGCATTTTCTCCTGGCACCTGTTGCCTGTCACCTATGTCTGTATATGTTGTACATGTAAAAATAAAGATTATTGTTATATTAGTAATAGTAATAGTAGTATTACAGCAGCAAGTAGGTATCTGGGTGTTAGGTGACTGAGGGAGAGGTCATTATGTACATTTTTCACCAGACAGAAACCTGTTAACATTTTATACTATAAATAATTATGTTATCTTTTGCATGGTTAAAAGTTATTTGTTATATAAATTGTATATTTAGGTGATAATAGTCAGTGGAGTCAATTATTGTTTAAAGAAATAGGAAAAAAGCTTCATTTTGATAAGTTAAGTAAGTAACCTAACCTAAACCAGTTGTAAAATTCTTGCCTATGTTAGCTTGCATAACATTAAGTTATATTAAAAAAAAAAACTGAAAATGAAATATATATTTACTGGGAAGAGTATTAAAGAACCCAATGAAAATAAGACAGTTTGAACACCTCATGACTGTCAGGTTATGATGGGTTACTAACACTCTGGGTTACTAACACTCTGGGTTACTAACACTCTGGGTTACTAACACTCTGGGTTACTAACACTGGGTTACTAACCCTCTGGGTTACTAACACTCTGGGTTACTAACACTCTGGGTTACTAACACTGGGTTACTAACACTCTGGGTTACTAACACTCTGGGTTACTAACACTCTGGGTTACTAACACTCTGGGTTACTAACCCTCTGGGTTAATAATCCTCTGGGTTAATAACCCTCTGGGTTACTAACCCTCTGGATTACTAACCCTCTGGGTTACTAACACTCTGGGTTACTAACCCTCTGGGTTACTAACCTTCTGGGTTACTAACCCTCTGGGTTACTAACCCTCTGGTTTACTAACACTCTGGGTTACTAACCCTCTGGGTTACTATCCCTCTGGGTTAATAATCCAAACAATATCTTATTTCATATAGTATACTGAGGTGTGAGGGGAGACATGGAGCTGGGCAGGTAATGTCACTTGTTCCATTATAACTTAGCCAAGTGGAATCATCTGTGTGCTAAAATTGAGTGGGTAAATATGTCAATTGCCCTGCTCTTCTATATAGTTTTATGTACTAGTACTGTACCTGGTGAGACTAAGTTTGGCCAATGTTTCTGAAATTAAAAATGAATTTGATTTCTATGATGGTGTTAGTTATGGCAATCAGAGCAAATTCCAAGCATAGAGTACTGCACCTGTCTGTTTCCTTGATAACTAGTTTGGTATCCACGAAGTTCATCAGATGATTTTTCATGTTATGGTGAATATTATATAGCATCGTGAGTGTTGTCTCTTTGGCAGGTATTTTTGCGTTCACTTCACATTGATAAAACTTATTGCAACTTTTGCATGGTATAATGTGGATACTGACAGTATGCCCATGGTTACTGTTTTCTTTTATAGCTAAATTATTATTGTGTCAAAGATATACTGGTAATCCTAATGTTGGCTTTGGCAGATATGGAGAAGTTATTGCAGACAGGTATAACTGCTTATCAGCTAGCATTGGAGACTTATCTTGCATTGAGTAATATTTTCTCTACCTTTGTCCTGCATTCAGTAATGAACTGTTTTAGATAGTGATGTTCAAGTAAGGCTTTATTGATGTCTCATTATTCTTCGAGGAATGTGGGCGAGGAACAAATCCTGTAGATCAGGATTTATTCAGGTAGATCATTTTTTTTTAGTGGGTTTGTATTATACCTTAAAATCTATCTTAACTTTATCTCTGCAGATTATGACACTCAGAAAAGCCCTCTTGTTATTTCTTCAGTGGTAATGTTCTGTTTACTTATCTGTATTTGAACTGATTAATAAGTTTATTTAGGTACAAGTACACATAAGTATAATTATTATAACTAGTGTCAATTACCTAGGATAACCCAAAAAAAAGTCAGAGTGACTGATTTATTTCCATTGGGGTCCTGATGAAATCCTTGGTGGATGAAACAAGTTCTTAATAAAATGCCATAATTAGCATATTGTGGGTTGTTCACATACTTGATATATCCTATCATTGATATGCAATACATAGAGTGACTCCTTTTTCTTTATTTTTTTCTTCTTTCCTTTGAGACTTATATTTCTTTGTGCCCACAGACTCTGACTTGAATATTATTGAATTATTTCATATTTTCAGATCTGAAGAGAAGTAATATTCAAGTAATAATCGAGTCAAAATGGCTTCACTTAGGAATGCCATGAAAACCCAGCATGTGCACAAGGAGCGACACCAACCTATCGCCCGTCAGCATCTAGGTGCCTTAGAGAAAAAAAAAGATTACAAGATAAGAGCTAAGTTAGTACTGTACTGTCATTTTTCTGTGTTATGTTATGTTTAGGTATCTACATAGATTTAGAAATCTCCAATTTTCAATATTGATTACATCAGTCACCAGGCTGGCCATATTTGATGAGATTAATCATATGTGCTTTTATCAAAAAATTCTCTATTTTAATATTAATGTTACATTTGCCATGCCTGAATATTTTGGTAAACTAAGTCATCTGTGATTTGCTTTTTTATAGTTGTATAATAAGATAATTCTAATTGTTATTGGATCTGAATGAAGCGGAGGATGTTTGTCAATTGTTGCAGTCGTGGTATTGTGATTTGTATTCTTTATCATTAATACTTGTGCATTAATTTGTCCCTGTATATTTCTAAAAGCTTTCTATCATGAACCATTTAGTAATTATATTTCTGTATATTTCAGTGTGTAAATAAGTTTTAGCCTGTGCTGTATATTTTTGGATACTGGTCACATTCATCTTCCTGATATTTTGTGTTCCTAATTTTTTTTCCATTTATTCTGTTTGCCCTCCTAATTTTTTCTTTGGGAGTTTCCTACTGTACAATATTTTTGTGGTGTCTAAACATTTCAGGGTACAGTATCATATTTTTCTGTAAATCTGTTGATAATTAAGGAAGAGCATCTCTAACAAATAGATAGCCTTGTGCTGCCTTATCAAAACTATAATGGAAATTCAGATTTATTATTTAAAAGTTCCACATTTCAGTTGCTCATTCTAAAATTGCAATTTGAATTATAGATTTTTTTTTTAATTTTGAATGATTAATTTTTGTTAAAGTACAGTGAAACCTCAAAAATCGAACGTATCACACATCGAACGTTTCGAAAATAGGACCATTTTTTTGGACAAACTGTGTCCCTATTATCGAACGCGCCCCTATTTTCGGACCGCCGGGTACGTGACCTGTCTGCCGCCCGCTCTGTCCGTGTCCCCGCGTAGGCACCGTGAGCAGTCTAGCTTTGTTTATGCTTGAGTGAACACAAACCTGCGCTCTCATTCACGCATTTTACGATTGTTTCGTTGTGTTTAGTGCTTGTTGGACTGTGAAATAAGCTGCCATGGGCCCAAAGAAACTTGCTAGTGGTACCCCTGTGGTAAAGAAAGTGAGAAACACCATAGATGTGAAGAAGGAAATAATACAGAAGTATGAGAGAGGTGTGAGACTTGTTGAGCTTGCCAGGATGTATGGGAAAAAACAAGTCGACCATCGGTTCTGTCCTGTCAAAGAAAGAACAAATCAAGGAAGCTGATGTTGTGAAAGGTGTTAATATAGGGAGTGGATGAGGTGCCTTCTTCAAAGATTAAGGAGATTTGTGCCAAGTGGAATGATGTCCAAATGTTTGTGCAGAAGTACCACCCTGAGCAAGCTGAAACAAGCCATCTTTGCAACAAGTTCAGTGACAGAACCATGTCCCATTTTAGGGAAATGTTAAAGAGGCGCCAGAAACAGAGGACTGTGGACAGTTATTTTGTGAGACAGGGGTCCAGTGACTCTCAAGCTAGTCCTAGTGGCATTAAAAGACAGAGAAGGGAAGTAACCCCAGAGAGGGCTTTACCTGAAGTCCTCATGGAGGGGAATTCTCCTTCCAAACACTAACCCCAACTCCCTCTCTCCTCCTCCCTATCTTCCAGATGCCATCACCAATCTTCAATAAAGGTAAGTAAAAATGTTATTTTATATGTATTACTATACATAATTAAAAAACTATAGTATTTGTTGTATGTAAAATGTAATTAATCTCTATAAAATGTATTTTTTGTGTGAATTTTTTTGGGTTTCTGATATGGATTAATTGTATTTCCATTATTTCTTATGGGAAATATTGCTTCGAATTTCAGACTTTTCGAATTTAGAACTAGCTCCTGGAACGGATTAAGTTCGATTTTTGAGGTTCCACTATATATTTCCTGCAGCACTTAAGGAATATCTCAGATTTGTCATAAATTACCATGGCTCCTTATGTTTGTAAGGTGTATATTTATTGTTTTTGTATATCTTAACTTTGATATCTTCTGAGTTTCAGTTAAATAAATTAGGATTTATCTGTAAGACTCAGCATGATACATGCAAAAATGAGCACTTTAACTTACAGATCTCTGAAGGACGTAATTACCTTATAATCCCTCTTAGAATATGTGCATTCTAATAAAGCTGCCCACATGTCTCAGTTGTTCTTTTAGCACTGTTGTATTTCAGAGACCAGAATGCAAAACGGAAAGCATTAAAAACACTACGTAAGCGAGCTCTCAACAAGAATCCTGATGAATTCCATTATCACATGATTAATAGTGGACTGAAGGTAAGGTTTTTTTTTTATATATAAATTATTTCCTAACAGTGGAGAGCAAAAAGAAAAACACATTCACTATCACTTTTTAGCAGCCCTTTAATTAGGGCATTAACACAGTGAAATGTTGACCCACCAAACCACAGCCTGCCTACTTCACTTGCAGTGTGCAAGTCAATATATTTCACATTTTCTGACCCTTCACATCTGAACCTGTCTACCCACTTGCAGTGTGGAAAGCACTAAATTTCCCAGCTTGTAAAATTTGAGTCTTAGGTAGCTGGATTTTCACAGTCTTTAGATATCACTGTGTTCATAATCCATCAGCATATCAGATTTCATTGAGTATATGCAGTCAAACCTTGATTTTCGTATGCCCTAGTTTTTGTAAGATTCAGTTTTCAACGACTTTTTTCATCAAAATTTTGTCCCAGTTTTTGTACAGTTGAAAATGGTCTGTACCAAACTTGTCCACCTGCCCACGTAACTTGCCCACTGATTTCCCGCCCATGGACCAGCAGGTCATTTCAAACTTCAAAAAACTCTACACCAAAGCACTGTTTCAAAAGTGCTTTGAAGTGACTTCGGACACTGAATTGACCCCAAGAGAGTTCTGGAGGAATTGCTTCAGTATCTTCAATTGCATAAGCCTTATAGATAAGGCTTGGCAGGGAGTGACTTCCAAAACGATGAACTCTGCTTGGAGAAAATTGTGGCCAGAATGTGTCCTCAAGAAGGATTTTGAAGGGTTTGAGGCTGACCCTGATGACCCTATGCCTGTTGTGGAATCTGTTGTGTCTTTGGGGAAGTCCATGGGGTTGGATGTGAGTGGCCAAGATGTGGAAGAGTTGGTGGATGATCACAGGGAAGAGCTAACCACTGAAGAGCTGCAAGACCTCAACTGGAACAGCAACAGACTGCAGCTGAGGAAATTGCTTCAGAGGAGGAGGAAGAGAGAGGGGAGAATGTGCCTTCTTCGGTGATTAAGGATATCTGTGCAAAGTGGAATGAGTTGCAAAGTTTTGTGGAGAAATATCACCCTAACAAAGCTGTTGCAAGCTGTCTGCAACATGTTCAATGACAAATCTTAAAGAGATGCCAGAAACAGACCTCTCTAAACAGATTTGTTGTGTGACAGGGGTCCAGTGACTCGCAAGCTGGTCCTAGTGCCAGTAAAAGACAAAGAAGGGAAGTAACCCCGGATAGGGCCTTGATACCCGAATTTCTTACAGACGGGGATTCCCCTTCCAAACAATAACCTCTCACCGTCTTCCATATGCCAACAAGAGTCTTCAATAAAGGTAAAAGTGATGTTAGATGTTCATTTATCCATTTCATTAGTCATTTATATTTAATTCTCATTATTTTCTGTATGTAAAACTATAGTTATTCTCAATAAAATGTATTTTTTTGTTAATATTTTTGGGTGTTTGAAACGAATTAATTGGATTTACATTATTTATGGGAAATATTGCTTCAGTTTTCGTATGATTCGGTTTTTGTCAGACTTTTTTGAATGGATTAATCACGAAAACTGAGGTTCCACTGTACCTTCACTCTAATCTCACTCTAGTTTAACTCTAAATATATCCTGATATTTGTTCACATCGTCTTATTAAACTGCTTGTTAGTATCACTTACCAGTGTTTATACCAGGGGTGGGCAAACTGTGGCCCGCCAAAGGTTTTCATGCGGCCCACCAAGATCATGTACTCACATATATGTAGCTGAATGACCAAAACTTTGTTCATTTTCCTCTGTTGAAAACATGAGCTGTTACACAAGCATTATCAGACAAATACAGTTCCCAGTTGATGGCACTGAAAAGTTTGCCCACCCGTGGTTTATGCCTTCACATATGTCTGCTGAATTTCCACTCCCTTACATTTCAACTCTTTCCTTCCAATTAGACTATTCCTCAGATGTTCAAAATCTCCCTTATCTTCACTGTAGATTTAAGGAATATATACTTTAACCCCTTGACTGTCGCAACTCCAATGAAAAAATAAATATATCCTCTTAACTAAACTGCCTAGTTTCACTTTTTCTCAGCACCATTTCTTTCATTCCTTGAATTATGCTTTTCATACAGTATTCTCTACATAACATGCATATCACATATTTATTATGTGCAAATTGTTTCCAAACCCTCTAATCTCTTTCTTGGTGCAACACTCAAAGAGCATTCATAAGTGCTTCCATCATGTATACATACCTTCCATCATGTATATATTCATTGATATTCCTCATTTTATAAAACCATCTCTCTGGACATATACCCTCATGTATTTAGAAGCATTCACTTTCTCCATACTCCTTCATTCTGACTAATACAGTATCATTCTCCATTCTTCTACCTCTCCTAATTTTTAGAGGAAACTTTAGATGATTAGGTTCATCCTGTATCATTTATCAGGTCACAAGTGAATGGTCCAAGACAATCCAAAATATTGTTTAAAGTTTCCTGTCCAGATTGTGGGGTAGTTGTGAATTATTCCAGCCACTGTATTATTACTTATTCTTTGCATCTACTTCATTCTTATCATCATACTTTTTTTTTCTACATGTCAAATTCCTCTTCTAACTTTTGTTGTTTCTTTGCAACTCTCAGTAACATTGTCTCTTGTAAACAGGAATTGCAACACTTACATAATCAAATTTGCTAAATAAAGGTATAATACTGACAAATGGTGTATACACTTAATGCAGTGAAGTCTTTATTGGTACAGTATTTTACCTAGAGGTAGGTTTTATTAAGTTCCTAGGCCATTGAAAAAAAAAATTGTTTACATAGGTCATTTGGGGAGGACAGTCAGATGTAAATAAGCAGAGTAGTTATGGACACTATTAAGAGGTCTGCTGTAGTCCCACTCTAAGTTTCTTGTTCCAAGATGTGTGTGTTAGGAGTCATCATTGTGAATATACCAGAATTTTGTGTTATGGTGTTAGTTTGATAAAGATGACTCTTTTTGTTTTGAAGAGTTGCCTGGCTCTGTCCCATACCATAATGTGGGAGTGGGTGTTGCAGTGTTATGCACATGCATTGTTGTCCATTCTGTAGGCATACTTGTGTTGTTGTAGTCTTCCCATGTGTCTGCACTCAAACATATCAGTCGCTGCAAAAAATCTATCCTCTTCTTGTTTTATTCACTAACATCTATGGTAGTTCAGCAGTCTGCACTGGTATGTACAGTAGTACTTTTTTATAACAAAAAAAAAATCTTAAAACAATCTGAACAAAACTTAATATCTTCACATTTTGTCACGAGGCAATGCAAGCTTTTTTATTATTCCATCTATGACAAATATCTCCCAATTTTCCTTTTGTATCTTTTAAAAGCTGTTATATCTTGCCTCAGAAGTCTCTGAGCATTTACATAGCCTCAACTTCTAGATAATAAATATATGGTAGTCCTTAATCTAGATTCTAGATAGTAGTAGCCCTCAGTAAATAGTCTTGGTGTACTTTAAAAGTCCTCTGTTATCTATCTTTTCCATGTATTCCAAAATTTATTTTTTTGCACTGTTGTTCATTCAATAGGAAAGTATTGCTATTACTCTTGGATAATTACCTAGATCATTACTTTTTTCTTTCTTTCAACACACCGGCCGTATCACACCGAGGCGGGGTGGCCCAAAAGGAAAAACGAGTTTCTCCTTTTACATTTAGTAATATATACAGGAGAAGAAGTTACTAACCCCTTGCTCCCGACATTTTAGTCGCCTCTTACAACACGCATGGCTTACGGAGGAAGAATTCTGTCAAAGCCTGTAAAACAATTACAGGCTTCCGTTTTACACTCACTTGGCAGGACGGTAGTACCTCCCTGGGCGGTTGCTGTCTACCAACCTACTACCTAGATCATTACTTTTTATCTGTATTAAATCCACACATGTATAAGTCAGAATTTTTTGTGTGTGATTTTTAGTTACTAAATAAGAGAGAATGGGTTACCCACTTTTACTCCATTCATTGTAATTGATTTCTTTATATGATTTAAAAAGTGGGAGACAAAATATTATATTACTCCTATTTACACTTTATTTCTTTCCAACCAAGTAACTGTTATTGTAAATATGGGATTACATATATATTAATTCTTTTTCATCTTTCATAGGATGGCATACATTTTGAAAAGGTTGAAAATGAGGAGCTTGCTGTGGGTGACGTTATGCAGGACTTAGTATATATCACTCATCGTCTGACTATTGAGAAGAAGAAGATTGAAAAGTTAAAAGCACAGTTACATGTACTTGATATGGAAGATGATGAACCAAAAAATACACACATAATTTTTGTAGATGACGAAAAAGAAGGTATGTTATACAATAATTTAAAATTTCTTTTTATGTTTTGTAAGAAGATTATAAGTAGTTTTACCAGGGAAAGTGCAGAGGGGGCCCTACTTTACGGCACTTTGCTAATATGGACACTTCAAATTACAACCAAAAATTCGTTTATACAGCTCCCTGATTCGCTATTACAGCGTCTGCACACTACTCTATGTACAGTGGAACCTCGGTACTTGAACTTAATTCATTCCAGAAGGCTGTTCGAGTGCCGATCCATTCGAGTATCAAGCAGATTCTTCCCAGCCAGTTTTCTTTTTGGTTGGCTGTCATCACTAATCTTCGTAGGCCCCAGAAAATGCAAAGAAACATGAAATAGTTTACAGCAAAGGTCTGTCAGGTCATGTTTCTTTGGCCAAGTACTGAGCTTTGTTCGAGTAGGGAGCTGTTCGAGTACCGAGGTTCCACTGTACACCCTCCGTGAGCTCCATGTCTATCAATTATTTTTTATTATTATTATTATCACACTGGCCGATTCCCACCAAGGCAGGGTGGCCCGAAAAAGAAAAACTTTCACCATCATTCACTCCATCACTGTCTTGCCAGAAGGGTGCTTTACACTACAGTTTTTAAACTGCAACATTAACACCCCTCCTTCAGAGTGCAGGCACTGTACTTCCCATCTCCAGGACTCAAGTCTGGCCTGCCGGTTTCCCTGAACCCCTTCATAAATGTTACTTTGCTCACACTCCAACAGCACGTCAAGTATTGAAAACCATTCGCTCCCATTAAACTCCTAAAAAACCCACGCTCACGCACACCTGCTGGAAGTCCAAGCCCCTCGCACACACAACCTAATTTGCCCCCTCCCTCCAACCTTTCCTAGGCCGACCCCTACCCCGCCTTCCTTCCACTACAGACTGATACACTCTTGAAGTCATTCTGTTTCACTCCATTCTCTCTACATGTCCGAACCACCTCAACAACCCTTCCTCACCCTCGGGACAACATTTTTTTTTTGGTAATCCCACACCTCCTCCTAACTTCCAAACTACGATTCTCTGCATTATATTCACACCACACATTCCCTCAGACATGACAACTCCACTGCCTCCAGCCTTCCCCCTCGCTGCAACATTCATCACCCATGCTTCAAAACCCCTATAAGAGCGTTGGTAAAACTATACTCTCATACATTCCCCTCTTTGCCTCCAAGGACAAAGTTCTTTGTCTCCCACAGACTCCTAAGTGCACCCACTCACCCTTTTCCCCTCATCAATTCTATGATTCACCTCATCCTTCATAGACCCATCCACTGACACGTCCACTCCCAAATATCTGAATACATTCACCTCCTCCATACCCGCTCCCCTCCAATCTGATATCCAATCTTTTTTCACCTAATATTTTTTTTATCCTCATAACCTTACTCTTTCCCGTACTCACTTTTTAATTTTCTTCTTTTGCACACCCTACCAATTCATCCACCAATCTCTGCAACTTCTCTCAGAATCTCCCAAGAGCACAGTGTCATCAGCAAAGAGCAACTGTGACAACTCCCACTTTTGTTTGATTCTTTATCTTTAACTCCACGCCTCTTGTCAACCCTCGCATTTACTTCTCTTACAACCCCAAACTATAAATTATTAAACAAACCCCGGTGACATCACACATCCTTGTCTAAAGGCCTACTTTTACTGGAAATAATTTCCCTCTTTCCTACATACTCTAACTTGAGCCTCACTATCCTCGTAAAAACTCTTTACTGCTTTCAGTAACCTACCTCCTACACCATACACCTGCAACATCTGCCACATTGCCCCCCTATCCACCCTGTCATACGCCTTTTCCAAATCCATAAATGCCACAAAGACCTCTTTAGCCTTATCTAAATACTTTTCACTTATATGTTTCACTGTAAACACCTGGTCCACACACCCCCTACCTTTCCTAAAGCCTCCTTGTTCATCTGCTATCCTATTCTCCGTCTTACTCTTAATTCTTTCAATAATAACTCTACCATACACTTTACCAGGTATACTCAACAGACTTATCCCCCTATAATTTTTGCATTCTCTTTTGTAAAATTTCCAGACATAATTGATAATTGCATTTTAACCCTTTGAGGGTTTTGGTCGTACTAGTACTTCTTACACGTAGGGGTTTTTGACGTACTAGTACTCATAAATTCTAGCGGCCTCAAATCTAGTGGGAGAAAGCTGGTAGGCCTTCATATGAAAGAATGGGTCTATGTGGTCAGTGTGCACAGTCTAAAAAAAATCCTGCAGCACAAAGTGCATAATGAGAAAAAAAAAACTTTGATCTTTTTTTTTTAATAAATCAGCGACTTTGCAGTGTATTTTCGTATGGTATTTATTGTTGTATTCTAGTTTTCTTGGTCTCATTTTATAGAATGGAAGACATATTACAGAAATTGAGATGATTTTGACTGGTTTTACAATGAAAGGTGCCTTGAAATTGAGCTCAAAGTAGCAGAAATGTTCGATTTTTTACCAAACTTCAAAAGTAAACAAATCGTGCCAAGCGTGCAATACACGTCAACTGGTGAGTCTAATATTCTTTCACAAGTGCACCAATAATATTTATACCATTTTTACACTAATGCAGTAGTCTGCATAACAGTAAATCTTATATTTTTTGTGAAAATAAAAATTCAAAGTGGAAAGCAAAAGAATATAAGAGGGGCCTTGAGACGTGACTAATGACTAGAGGAAATGTCATTTTTAGTGCCAGGAATGTCTTTCTTGTTTATTCTGGACCCTATTCGGAAATTGGCATCTTTTGAAATTTGTGTGAAATTGGCAAAATTGCTAAATTCTGACCACTGTACTGGATAGTTGAATTTCATGAATGGGTGGTTTCTTGCACCCATTCGATAGAAAAAATGGAGTTCTAGCGAAATATTCATGTTTTTTGTCGACTAGTACAGTGAAATTGGCCGAAAATGGGGCTCAAAGTGGGCAAAAACGCCGATGCGTAAACATCGCCGAGACCGCTAACTTTGCGAGAGCATAATTCCGTAAGTTTTCTATCAAATTTCAAACTTTTGGTGTCTTTATGATCGGGAAAAGATTCTCTATCTTTTCATAAGAGAAAATAATTTTTTTTTTTTTTTAAATTTGGCCGACCCTGAGAACGAGTTTTGGAGAGGGCCTGTCGACCCTCAAAGGGTTAAAGTTATTGTGTATTTTAAAGTTATTGCATGTTTTATGTATTCATTAGGGCCCCATTTATATGGCAGGTTAGGTTCAAGGCTACCGCCAGAAAGCAGAACGCCATTTTTTCCCACTTATAAATGCATACAAATGCCAGATAACAAGTTTACACTAACATATACAGTAGGGCACCGCTTTTCGGCATTTCGCCTTATGGCGTTCCACTAATACGGTGATCTCAAATTATGACCAAAACTTTCTGTACATGAAGTTGTCTTTCAAATACGGCGCGAGCCACTCTGTTTGTTTACATTCTCCATGAGCACATCTCTCTATTATGTAATAATAATCACTCTTGGGCACATTAAATGTCTAATTTTATGTCATTATAGACATTTTCATTAATCCATCTATGATATTTTCTTCAAAATTATATAAGAAACACGTTACATAACATATAAACATTTTATGTTTATATACTACGAAGGTTGTCCAGAGGGCTGAGGAAGGGTTGTTGAGGTGGTTCGGACATGTAGAGAGAATGGAGCGAAACAGAATAACTTCAAGAGTGTATCAGTCTGTAGTGGAAGGAAGGCGGGGTAGGGGTCGGCCTAGGAAGGGTTGGAGGGAGGGGGTAAAGGAGGTTTTGTGTGCGAGGGGCTTGGACTTCCAGCAGGCATGCGTGAGCGTGTTTGATAGGAGTGAATGGAGACAAATGGTTTTTAATACTTGACGTGCTGTTGGAGTGTGAGCAAAGTAACATTTATGAAGGGATTCAGGGAAACCGGCAGGCCGGACTTGAGTCCTGGAGATGGGAAGTACAGTGCCTGCACTCTGAAGGAGGGGTGTTAATGTTGCAGTTTAAAAACTGTAGTGTAAAGCACCCTTCTGGCAAGACAGTGATGGAGTGAATGATGGTGAAAGTTTTTCTTTTTCGGGCCACCCTGCCTTGGTGGGAATCGGCCAGTGTGATAATAAAAATAATATAATAACTACGAAGGTGTGGTATCCGGGCGGAGGGAAAACATTATGTCACTCCCCTTAATACATAATGCTTTTGTTTACAATTCTTGGCTTGAATTTTTCATTACTTCTCCATTTGTTTATGATGGCATCTAAAGGTAGTTGTTAGAAACAATTAAACTCAGTGACCATGGTATGTTGATGGTAATAATATAGGTCTGGGCCACATTAAATATCGTGTAGCTATGTAGGTAGGTATAGGTATGTAGCCCAGGTGGACTACATACCTACATTATTATTATAACTGATAATTATACTTATGTGTACCTGTACCTAAGTAAACTTACACACTGTGCTGGCATGCAGGTACACATTAAAATCACTAAGAGTGTCTTAATAGTCTTGAAGATGCCATATTAACCCTTTGACTGTTTTGGTCGTATATATACATGTATGTCTTACGAGCCAGTGTTTCGGAGGTATTAATACGCAGAAATTCTAGAGGCTTCAAATCAAGCAGGAGAAAGCTGGTAGGCCCACATATGAGAGAATGGGTCTGTGTGGTCACTGTGCACCACATAAAAAAATCCTGCAGCACGCAGTGCACAATGAGAAAAAAAATGTCCGTTTTTTGGGATTAAAATGCTGACTTTGAGGTGTATTTTCGTATAGTATTTATCATTGTATTCTCGTTTTCATGGTCTCATGCGATAAAATGGAAAACATGTTACAGAAATAGAGATGATTTTGATTAGTTTCACGAAGAAAATGACCTTGAAATTGAGCTCAAAGTAGCAGAAATGTTCGATTTTTACCTATGTTCAGGAGTAAGCAAATCACACCACACGTCCAATACACGTCAACTGCGGAGTCTAATATTCTTTCACTAGTGCACTGATATTATTTATACCATTTTTACAATAATGCAGTAGTCTGCATACAGCAAATTTTGTATTTTTTGTATGAATAAAAAATCAAAATAGAAAGCAATAGTAATATAAGAGGGGTCTAGAGATGTGACTAATGAACAGAGAATATGTTATTTTAGTGCCAAGAATGTCTACATTGTTTATTCTGGACTCTATTTTGAAATTGGCATCTTTTTTAATTTGCATGAAATTGGCCAAATTGCCAATTTCTGACCACTTTATTGGGTAGTTCAAATCGGTAAATGGGCGGTTTCTTGTACTCAACTGATAGAAAAAATAGAGTTCTAAAGAAATAGCTACACGTTTGGTCAACTGGAACAATGGAATTGGCCAAAAACAGGGCTCAAAGTTGGCGAAATCGCTAATGCATATATGTCACCGAGACTGCTAACTTCGCGGGAGCGTAATTCTGTGAGTTTTCATCCAAATTTCATACTTTTGGTGTCATTACCATTGGGAAAAGATTCTCTATCATTTCATCAGAAAAAATAATTCTTTTTTTCCAAAAATTATAAATTAACATAAATATGAGATAAATATGAGATATTGGCAGTTTGGAGGGATATGTTGTGTAATCTCTATACGTAAATGCTTCTAAACTGTTATATTCTGAGCACCTCTGCAAAAGCATGATAAATGTGAGTGTGGTGAAAGTGTTGAATGATGGGTGAAAGTATTTTCTTTTTGGGGATTTCCCTTTTTTTTTTGGTCACCCTCCTCGGTGGGAGACGACCGACTTGTTGAAAAAAAAAAAAAAAAAATGAGATGTGGTAGCCAGGGGACTTGAGGACTTTTGTAGCCAGGTGACTTGTAGGACTTGGGTAGCCAGGCAACTTGTAGGACTTGTGGTAGCCAGCAACTTGTAGACTTGGGTAGCCAGGCAACTTGAGGGCTTGTGGTAGCCAGGCAACTGTAGGACTTGTGGTAGCCAGGCAACTTGTGGGAGCCAGGCAACTTGTGGTAGCCAGCAACTTGTGGTAGCCAGGCAACTTTGAAGTTCCAACATCAGAGAAAATGTGTCACTATAATATTACTGGGGTAACAAAAAAATTATTCCTTTCGTATGCCTTCACTCAGGGTGTCATTTCTTCTAAAAATGGTGTTACATAAGAATGAGAGTGTTTCTCTTTATTTATTCTACTGTATCAACATGGAGACAACTTGTACACAATGTAATGTGACGAAAACCAGATGTGTTCATCTGGTTTGTTTACGTTATGTGTGGGTGGGGTGGTGAAGGCTGCCCTTCCTGGCTACCCATACTTTCCAAACTGACTTAATAAAAATAAAACTCACCTCTCACCCTACATTAAGACTACAAATATTTTAAGGTAATTAATGAGTGTACTATACATGTACGTATATGCATTTTATCGCTCTAGGGATCTTAACCCTTTGACTGTCGCGGCCGTATATATACGTCTTACGAGGTACCGTGTTTGACGTATATATACTCATAAATTCTAGCGGCTTCAAATCAAGCAGGAGAAAGCTGGTAGGCCCACATGTGAGAGAATGGGTCTGTGTGGTCAGTGTGCACCATATAAAAAAAATCCTGGAGCACGCACTGCATAATGAGAAAAAAAAAACTCTGACCATTTTTTTAATTAAAGTGCCGACTTTGTGGTCTATTTTCGTATAGTATTTATGGTTGTATTCTCGTTTTCTTGGTCTCATTTGATAGAATGGAAAACATATTATAGAAATAGAGGTGATGTTGATTGATTTTACTATAAAAATAACCTAGAAATGGAGCTCAAAGTAGGGGAAATGTTTGATTTTTGCCAATGTTCAAAAGTAAACAAATGTCCAACTAGCCATTCTAATATGCAGTCATGAATGGGTTGATGTTATTTATACAATTATTACAGTATTGCAGTAGTCTGCATAATAGTAAGTCTTCTATTTTTTGTTTGAATAAAAATTCAAAATAGAAAGCAAGAGTTCATCCCAAGCAAAATATTTGTTTGTGTATTGTAAGTTTCTCTTGTGATAAGTTCTGCATATTCAACATAATCTACTATTACAGCCAAAAAAGCAGACCCAGCTAAGTTATTGGACACACATCCATCTCTGCTCAACAGAAGTTTCAATCGGCTGCACTCATCTCAGTTATCATCACTTGATAATAATCTGCATGATCAAGCACTGTTAACGGTAGGTTCTCATACATTTGTTGCTGTTTGATTTATGTCTTCATGATATCTGTCCTCATCTTCATTTAACTTGTTGATGTATTGCCCGAAGTATGTTTGTTTCCAGATTTGTTTACTCTCTTCAGCACTTTTAATTAAAATTCTATGTATGGCTTTTATGTTTTAAGAGTGTGTGTGCATTTTTTTGTGTGGGTGCACCTATGCATTCATGTGTGTGTGTGGGCATGTGTGTGCCTCCCAGTACATTTCCTAATGTACTGGGAGGTTATGATGCTTTCATGATGTACTACATACTATAAAGACAGATTGGTTCTTCATGAAAATCTATTTTGTTTGGCTAATATAATAGGGGAGTTATTAGATGGGGGAGCTGGAGGTATTGGGTAGATGGCAGGATTATTTTGAGGAACTTTTAAATGTTTATAAAGAAAGGGAAGCAGTAATTTCATGTACTGGCCAAGGAGGTATAACATCTTTTAGGAGTGAAGAGCAGGATGTAAATGTGGGAGAGGTGCATGAGGCATTACGTAGAATGAAAGCAGCTGGAACTGATGGGATCGTGACAGAAATGTTAAAAGCAGGGGGATATATAGTGTTGGAGTGGTTAGTATTTTTGTTTAATAAATGCATGCAGCGAGGAGACGGTTGGAGGCAGTGGAGATGTCCTGTCTAAGGGCAATGTGTGGTGTAAATATTATGCAGAAAATTCGGAGTGTGGATATTAGAAGAAGGTGTGGAGTTAATAAAAGTATTAGTCAGAGGACAGAAGAGGGGTTGTTGAGGTGGTTTGGTCATTTAGAGAGAATGGATCAAAGTAGAATGACATGGAAAGCATATAAATCTATAGGGGAAGGAAGGAGGGGTAGGGGTCGTCCTCGAAAGGGTTGGAAAGAAGGGGGTAAAGGAGGTTTTGTGGGCAAGGGGCTTGGACTTCCAGCAAGCGTGCATGAGCGTGTTAGATAGGAGTGAATGGAGACGAATGATACTTGGGACCTGACAATCTGTTGGAGTGTGAGCAGGGTAATATTTAGTGAAGGGATTCAGGGAAACCGGTTATTTTCATATAGTCGGACTTGAGTCCTGGAAATGGGAAGTACAATGCCTGCACTTTAACCCTTTGACTGTTTCAGGCCCCTCTCTGAAACTGTCATTCAATGTCGCCAAATATTCGAAAAAAAAAAATTATTTTTTCTTATGAAAATGTTAGGAATATTTTAACTAGTGTTTTAAGCCTAAAAAAAATTTTTGCCATCAGTACTTACCGAGATATAGAGCCGCAAAGTTTGCAGAAATTGACGTGCGTATGGCAAGAGCGGCGACTGCCGCCCACCCGGTATTCTTTTATTTACTCTAATTCAAAGGTTTCTTGCATTTTTCAATATTTTTTCTTTTCCAGTAACTTATTGCCTGGAGACCCTGTAAGGTGCATTGTTCAAATATACACTCATTATTTACAAAAC